GCAAATGGGCACCAGGCAGAGCCAGCTCGCATGCCCTGTATGATGTGTTTGGAGTGTGGCCACCAAGTGCTGTGCATGTGTGGGACCATGGAGCCACCCAGCTAGGAGGTCGGGAGGCCCCAAGGGTATGGGGGCGTGGGCAGCAGAAGAGTGGACAAGCCCTCATCTCCTCTCACCCCTGTCCCCCAGATACTACTTCAAGAAAGTGAGTGACGAGTTTGACTGTGGAGTGGTGTTTGAGGAGGTTCGGGAAGATGAGGCCATCTTGCCTGTCTTTGAGGAGAAGATCATCGGCAAGGTGGAGAAGGTGGACTGACCATCAGGCCAGGCCTCTGCACTGGGCTGGGCCCTCATCAGGTGGGGTGGGGACAGCCACACTGAGAGCCAGGAAGGGCTATGCCATGTCAGGTGCTCTCACGTGTGTGCAAGCACACAGCTCCTCATGTGAGGCCAGGGACTGCTTGCCCCATAGCCGCCCACCCCATTGGTCCATCTGTGTCCAGGTGAGCAGGGGTCCCGCTGAGTAGTCCCACAGGCATGTCTCCTATTGCCACTGAGGAGGGGGCACCATCCATTCCTCCACAGCACTACTATGAGAGTCCACCCAAGCAAGCAGGGAGCCCCCCATGGGGCCGCCTTGAGGACCCTCCCCAGTGGACCCCTGCTGCTAACCATGGTCCAACCCCTTGGCGCTTCCCCCCAGGACTCTGCTTCTCCAGGAATTGTCCACCACGCCCTGCCCTGGTCAGGGCCAGCTCAGGCCCGGGGTTCAGGGGTCCCTTAGGGGTCTCTAAATTGTACATGTCACTGAGTGCCTTCAACACAGCTTGTCTCTTGCCTGCCACTATGTGGATCCGGCGATGGGGCACTTCAGTGCTCCCTCTCCACCCTCAGTTTCCACAACGCCGGCTCAGCGGCTCCCAGGCCCCCCCTTTCTAAGGGCCCATGTAAATATGTACATTTCTCAGGCTAGGGCTAGCAGGGGGCTGCCCCGAGCCCATTTTTCATGCGCTGACTTGTACAATTATCTTTTCAAAGGTACTTGGATAATAATGAAATAAAACCAGTTTTGAACTTTCCCTGGCTATGGAGTATATAGGTCTTCTGTTGGTAGGGCCTGGTGGGTGGGCACACCATCCTTAGCCAGCTTCTGGTACGTGTGGCCTGTCTCTTCTAGCCTGGCCTGGTTATGCACAGCTCATATCAGGCCTCAGCAGCAAGGTCACACAGGCAACCAAGGGTCTTGGGAGTAGGGTCTCTTGGGGAGCCAAGATGGCAGAACACTGGAGAGGGAGGGGGCAAAAGTTGGAAACAACACCATGTTTCCTCCCCCTTGCTCCCCAGGTAGGGACCTAGACCCATACTTAAGCCAGGGATCCACTGAGGAGGACTGGGGGCAAGGGCTAGGCCCCGTCCAACATGGAACCCCAGGAGGCTGAGATTTGGCCAAAGCCAAGGGCTGGGGACCAGCCATGCTCAGGAACCACACACAGTCCAGGACCAAAACTCTTTATTCAGTGCCCACAACTCCCAAGCACCTGAGGAGAAGGCTCCCTAGCACTGATAGGGTGGCTACAGCTCCTCCTTGGTATCCACGGTGGAATTGCTTGTTGTCTCCTAGAAAGGATCACAGAAGCCCAGCTGGAAGCTGCGCCCTTAGCCCAACCTTGCCCAGTCAGTCCCATAGCCACCCATCCGAGGACTTGTCCAGAGGCCTGGAACCTTGGAACAGAGGCACTCACCGGGAAGGGGGCTAAGGCCTCCTCGGTGGGCTCCTCTTCAGGTAGTTTGCCCCCGTTGTCCAGGAACTTGGAGAAGGTCTCCAGGTCCCTGGCACTTTTGTATTCAATCACCTGAGGAGGAACAGGAGAGTCTGGAGGACCCACCACGTCCTCCCAAATCATCCCCAGTCCAGGCCACACCCACCCTAGACTCTACCAGCTAAGGCCCCACCCTAGCCAAGTCCCTTTCCTGCCCTGGGCCACACCCTATACTAGCTAGGCCTTGTACTCTAAGACCACACCCCATCCCAGAGCCCTCCTCTAAGGCCACACCCTCTAAGATCGTGTCCTCTCCATCTGAGGACTCAGACACCAGACCGAGGAACATGGGGTCTTGCCTCACCTTCCGTCCCTGCCCTGCCGGGAAATACTTGAGGGTGGGAAAGCCATGCACTGGGAAGGCTTCCAGCTCATTGGCTGTGGCATCTAGCTCGGCAATGATGATGTCCTCATGGTCTCTGTACTTCTCGGCCAGTGCCTCCCAGGTTGGTGCCATCTCCTTGCAGTGAGTACACCATGGGGCATCTAGGACAAAGGGATGTTGGCACAGCCAGCAGGACACAGTACTGCCCACCTACCCACTGTCCACTGCCCTCCACACTCACAGAACTTGACGAACACATTCTTGGTTTCGTCAAAAGCCACCTGCTCGAAATTCTTGCCCACAAGAGTCTTGACGGGATGCTGATCCCAATCAGGGGGGACCTCCTGACTCAGAAGATAGGGCTGGGGGAACAAGGCCAGGCACTTTGTTGGGGATCTCTCCTGACAGCTGCTGCTCCCACCCCCACACTCTAGGTGAGCCACCCAGCACGGACCTTGACCTTGCCGCTGAGGACTGAGTCACAGAAGGCGGTGACCGAGGCTGCAGTGATTGGCCCGCTGTCTGCAGGCTTATACTTCTTGGTGGTCTCCATGTTGATAAAGCGCAGGGTGGGGGCCTCCTCTGCTTTGAGCCCAAAGTACTGTAGCACGTGGTTGTTGTTGGCACCCACGTCCACCACCACAAACAGCACCTGCCAGCAGGGAGTATGCACTGGGCACTCGTCTCCCCACCACCCACTGCCCTAGCCTACCCAGCCAGTACCTGCCCCCGGAATGGGGGAGCTGCCTCCCTGAAGCCTGCCAGCAGCTCCTGGTGCGAGGTCAATGTCTGGTTGATGAGCAGCAGCAAATGGTTGAGGATCCTGGCAGCAAAGATCTTGGGGGACGTCTGCAGGGGCGGGCCAGACTCATGGGGGCTAGATCCTGTAGTCACCCTCCCACTCCCCTCAATGCCCACGCCAGTTCCTGCAGCCCAACTCACCTGGCTGTTGAACTCCGTGACCAGGTGCATGCTGTGCGTGAGGAGGAAGCGGGACAGGTCATCCTGGTCCAGGCCCAGCTCCTCATCCACTGGGAAGTCTGCCCTCCCCTCGTCAAACTAGACAACACCACAACACCGGGCGAGTCAGTAGGAGTCACAGCCCTGACGCTAACCCCTGCCTTGGCCCTGACCCACCTTCTTGAAAAGGACCACGGTGTCCTTGGTGAGGCCAAACTTCTGAAAGAGCTGCAGCTGGTCAGTGAGGCCAAAGGTCATGTCCAGAGCATCCTGGGCGAGAGCCAGGAAGGTTGCCACAGCTTCATCCTTAAGGTCCTAAGGAGTCCACATTTGTGAGGCCAGCTGGGGCCACAGGCCCTGTTCCCAAGGCCTGGCCCCCGTGCCACTAGCTCACCTGGAAGAAGCCGATGACCACTATATCCTGGGCCTCTATCAATGCTTGGGCACTCTCTTCATCATCTAGGCGTGTGGCGCTGGACCCCACCCGCCGCCTCAGCCACTCAGCAATGCCCTTGGCTTCACGGGGGCCTGTGAGAGTCCTGTTAGCCTGTGCCCAGCCCCTGCCCCACGCCACCTCACACATGCCCATCCCCTGTACCAGTATACTCCTCTGGGTTGGTGCGGTTCCCGTCACGGAAGAACTTGAGCGTGGGGTACTCTGTCACAGCAAACTCCTTGGTCAGCTCTGGCTCTGAAGGCCCATCCACCTTGGCCAGCCTGGTTTTGGCTGACTCTGCTGCCAGCAGGGCAGCTGCCTTGATGTACTCTGGGGCCAGCGCCTTGCAGTGCCCACACCATGGGGCATCTGGGGGACAGGGCCATGAGTGCCCCCGGCCTCCATGGCCCCAGCTGCAGCCCCTGCTCCCCCCTGTCCAGAGCTGGCCAACTTCGAGTCAGTCAGGTCCAGCATGGAGCATGTCCTGTATACCTCCCTCCTTCAGGGGCCCACCTGAGCCTCAGCCACACTAAGCCCAAGCACCAGAAACCAGACCACTCAAGACCCAGATGAGGTGTGCAGGGGCCAGCACTATCCAGACAGCGAGTTTGAGAAGAATCCTCCTGTTGCTCCCTGAGGCGGCGCTCCCTGCCATATGCCACTGTTGGCCTGCCAGCTCAATGGCTTTTACGTGTGTAAAGGGTTGTAAAAAAGCCAAAGAATATGCAAGGTGTGAGTTTTACCTGGCCTTTCACAGAAAATCTACAGAAGGACAATGACTGTGGGTCTCCCCTATACCTGTGCCTCCCTCCCACCTGCTCAAGTTGGACCCCCAGACCCAGCTCAGCCCGATGGCTCTGCCTCAGGTGCCTCTGATGGAGCCAAGTACCCATCAGGGAAGCCCCTTCAAGTGCATAAGCCCCTGAGTCCACATGGTAGGGGGTTGAGCACACTGGGTGGCACCTGCGGGTCCCCCAGCCCTGCTGACCCTGTGCACTCACAAAACTCCACCAGCAAGGCAGGGTGCTCCTGCAGGGCCAGGCCCAGGGTGCTGTGGCTCAGCACCAAGATCCCATCCTCCTCAGGAACCTCCTCCTTCTGGGGCTCCTCCGAGGGGCCCCCAGGCCCTGGCCCCTGGCCCCGAAGGCTCAAGGCCCCGATCAGCAGCAGTAGCAGCACAGACAGGAGCTGGCTGTCCATGGCAATGCCAGGGCCCACGGGGCGGGGGCAGATAAGGGGGCCGGGGGCCAAGAAGCAGTTGCCACGTGGCACCCAGTCCTGGTCGCAGGAAAGATAAGGCCACAAGGCTCCCCCCACCCCCAGGGGAGGTGAGGCAGACAGAGGCAACACTGTGGGCACTGAGACAGGGTGAAGTTTAATAGGGCTATTCAGGGCACAGCGCCAGGCCCGGGACGGGGGCGTCCCGAGATGGGGCAAAGGGTATGAGGGGTCTGGTCACTGACTAAGCGGCTGGGGAATGCTTGCAGGGGCCTGTGCAATGACTGACAGAGGCAGAGGAAACAAGGACCCTAAGTGGGAAGACAGCTCCCGGGGCAGGGCAGGGCAGGGCAGGGCAGAGGGGTGGGCTCAGCTCTTCCAGTCTTGGCAGATGTGGAGTCCCCACTCCCAGGAAAGGTGGTCTGCCCTGTCGTCATCAGTGAAGAAGGAAGTGACCATGTAGGCGCCCCTCACCAGTGCACCTCGCGGCGCCTCCTCCACTGGAGTTACAAACTCGTACTCCTGGGCTCTTGGGCCATAACTGCCCACCATGTACACAGCCTTGTCCACTGGGGGAGGAGGAAGGCATCAGGGGCTGCCCTCTGTCCCACTGGCCCCCCGCACCCCAGCCTCCAGGCTGCGCCCTTCACAGGGCCCTCACCTCGCAGGCCCCTGCGGTAGGTGTGATGCAGACACTTGAGGCCACTGACAATTTCCTTATTGACCTGAGGGACAAAGAGTGTTAAGGGCTCCCTATGGGAGGGCTGATCCTGTGGGTGGCAGGCATCGCCCATGATAGCTGCCCTCACCTTAAAGGTAATCTTCACTTTGTAATCAACACCCTCCTTCAGGACGAACACCTGATTTTTCAGCGCAGCCAGCTCCCCTGTTAGGGAAAGTGCAGCTAAGGAACAAACTCCTTCGATGGCTGAGGCCCTGCCCTAGGAGCCCACATAGGGGGATGGTATCTGTGACGTCTGTGTGATGGGTCTGAGGACTAGGGTTTGGGGACGGGGTCCTAAGAAGTCTCTACTCAAAAGATCAGTCTGTGGTTTGCAACGGGGTTTTACCTGTGAGGTCCATGGTCATGGGCCCTGGAGCCTGCTCAGACATCAGAGTCAGCCTGGTCACCTGCACGTTAGGCAGGCTTGGGTCTGAGGAGAAACTGGAAGTCTACGGGATGCACCCCCAACCTTCACCCCACCCCTCTTATGCCCAGGGCCCGTGCATACCCACTGCTGGTGGCAGGGAACCCAGAAGCACCCGCTTGTACTTGGCCAGGCTCTCATCATCCGGGTCCAGCTGTTGGATCTCTAGAAGGCTCTTCCTCCCCGGGGCCTGGTACCCTGGCACAGCCTCATCCAGCACCTCGTCTGGTGGCAGCTGCCCCCCTTCCTTGTCTGTCAGAAGGACTGGGGTCAGGGAGGTGAGTGAACAACTGCTGCCAGCTTCCCTGGCATTCATTTGTCAAACTGGAGCCCCCCCATCTGATCAGTTGTACCTCCCCCTACCCAAAGAATTTAAGAGGAAGCCAGCAGGGGCTCAGGGATGGAGCGAGTATGGGATTAGGGAAGAAGGTGTGAACTCGGGGAGGGGTGCATGGGGGCTTAGGGAGAGTGGTAGGCTGTAAGACACATAGCAACACCCACATCTAACCCCTTTAGGAGGAGCCCTGGGGGTGGACAAAGGCTCACAAGACCAAGTGACATTCCTGGAGGCATCAGCTGCCTTCTCCTGGCCCGCCCATCCATCCATCCATCCATCCATCCATCCATCCATCCATCCATCCATCCAGGGTCCCTCCCTGACTCTGAGGCCAAAGATGGGGGGAATGAAGACCCCAAATGGAGGACAGCTCCAAGGACTGGGGGCCACCACCATCCAGTGCTGACCTCCAAGGTCTTTCCTGGAGCAGAGGCTCTGCCCTCATAGTCCTCTGAGTGCTCCAGTGCTCTGGGGCCTCTGCCCATATTCCCATAATGCTCTCAGAAGCCTCTGGCCCCTATCATTCTGCCCAGGCAGAGACAGGGGTCTCTGAACGCCTTCCCACAGTCCTAGGAGTTCCTTCCATAGTGTTTCTGGGGGCTGGGGGTGTCTCTCTCTAAACCCTTCAGCTTATGCTCTGGTGCCACCTCCCAGAGTCTCCTAGAGCCCCTTCCTAAGCTGGGCTGGGTAGGGGTCTCTCTAAGCCCTTCCCGTAGTGTCTTGGGACAGGGTTTGTCTGAGTCCCTGCCCATTTCGCTCCGGTCTTCTCAGGAATCGCCACACACCCTGAAGGAGCCCCAGCCCCACCCAAGGGAGTGGGATCCCTGGAGCAGGTTCCCTGGGGGAGAGGGTCCCTCTACCACCCTGGCTTCACAAGCAGACCCGCCCACTCTTGGCTCCTTTCCCCATGAGTGTTTAGCCTGAAGGAAGCCCCCACCCCCGCCAGAGCCACGCTGGGAGGACTGGACCACAAGGTCCCCACGCGCACCCCCAAAGTTTCCACCGGGGGGGGGGCCCGGTCCCCACCCAGGACTAAAACCGCCCCCCTCCAGAGCCCCCCGCCCACGTGGCCGCCCTGGCCCCAACCCGGCGGGCTCACCCCGGGCGCACAGCGCCAGCCGGAGCAGTTCCAACAGCTGCGCCCCCAGCTCGCACGCGTCCA